CCCCTGCCGACATCAAAGCCCTTTGTCGGCAGCCCCGTTATTCCTCGTGGGACGAGGTTTACCGGGGCTGCCAACAAAGGGCTTTGATGTCGGCAGAGGAACGTCCAGACTAGTGCGCTGAACGGACAAACAGCTAATCAGCTGTTTGTCGGCTCAGCGCGGCAGCCATGTAAATGTAAATGAAGCCGCGATCATTTAAATTGCGGCTTCATTTGACTTTGCCAAAACAACAAATCTACATGGCTCCGTCGATGGAGCCATGTAGTTTAGACATACCCATAGTGTGGAACAGACAAATATTTTGATTAATATACATTAAAATAGAGACATTAATTTGTTGAGTGGGATCACTCACACATAGTTTGAAGAATTAAGTATTCAGTGTGTATACTAGTTGCACTCAAATAAGAAATACTTTGGGCCTGATTATCTTCTCACGCCTGTTTTACACAGGTTTTACTCTATTGACTTAAATGGGGTTATTCCTTCTGTACATTCGTGTAAGAAATAAGTCCGCAGATAAGGTGATGATGGACACCATGGAAAAACTTAAATAGAATATGTAGATGGAAGGTTAGTATTTTACTAAGAAACCAACCCTAGTCACAGGAAATATTCTTTTGAGTTTACACAGAAGTGATACTCTTGGAAATATTTTTATTAAAATATACAACATATTTCATGGCTTTAAATCTTCAGAATTTATTTGTCTTGAAGTTTTGTTTCCTCCATATGTTTGCCATCAGCTAAAGGATCAGAATTGATGAACTGCATGGAAACATGTTGTCAGGCTATATATCAATTGCTTGTTTTCTAACAATTGTTGTTACATTTAACATGCACTCCCCTGGAGAGGAAATGATTGTTTACTATTATTCTGACATCCTCCTTGCCCATCAAAAATGTTTTGCAGATGTACCTTTCCAATAGGGTTTCCAAACCTTGCACTATTGAAGTTTGCAATGGCAATTCACTGATGCCTGTGGACTGCCCTTCATATGCATAGCCATTTTGGTCAGTCTGACTTAGGAACACTGTCTGTCCATCTTGATATAAGCAAAATTATTTGGATTTAGGCCGAGCAGTGCATCCTATGTCACAGAGGTACATCAGAAAGAGACTACATGTGAAGTAGGAGGATGACTGAGGACCTCATCACAGATCGATATTGACCTCATTTTTAAATGAATGTGTTGATGTACTCACATTTATTCAAGCATCTGTGAAGGGCTCCAGTTTCATGGCAATAGTTATATACATATTCATACAAATATTTGACCGTCAGGCTGTGTTTTGGATCCCACTGCTTAAAAGTCTTATTGATCCAGGCTCTTCAGCACTGAGTATCAAAATACTCTTCAACAGTGTAAAAGTAAGAAAAGAGGAAGACTGGAAAACCCAGGGGTTTGTTAATAGAATATCAAATCTTTCACTTCTGCTACTTCAAAGTCAACATAGGAAGTGAAGTGTAGGAACATAGGAATTGCCAAACTGGAGCAGACCTAGGGCTGTCTAGTATAGTATCCCTGTCTTCTACACAAGCCAGCACCAGATACTTTAGAACAGCAGATCTCAAAATGTGAATCAGGACTCCAAAGTGGGTCAGGAGGACCCCATTTTAATCGAGTCACTGGGGCTGGCATTAGACTTGCTGGTGCCTGGAGATGAAGCCAAAGCCTGAGTCCCACCACCCAGGTTGGAGCCAGAGTTCAAGAGCTTCAGCCTTGGTTGGTGGGGTTATGCTCACTGGGGCCTCATGCTAAAGCCCTGCCATCCCAGGGCTGAAAGTGAAGCCTGAACATCTTTCCTTTAGGGAGGCTGGGTAAGTGCCCTTCTTGCTCACCTGTAACATTGCTCCTGATTCTAGAGTGGCGCATGGGTGCATAGTAATTTTGTTGTCAGAAGGGGGTTGCAGTTCAATGAAGTTTAAGAACAGCTGCATTAGAGGAAGGTGTAAGAACCCTGCAGTAGGAAGATTAGGAGTAATCTGCTCTCCACATTAAGTCTCATCCTGAGATTTTATAGTTAGAACTGGGCTTAAAGCCTGAGATTTAATAGCTGTAAAAAGTTTCTATTCACTTATAGCTGGGTCTAGGAAGCTCTTGTCACATCTAGTACATTGGCTGTTCATGCTGTGGCCCCCATCTTTCTCCATGACTCAGGATAGTCCCTCTTTCTGACTCAGCTCTCAGTCATCATATAGTCCCCCTACTCTTCCAGAATAACAAAATCCTATCAGACAAGCTATAAAGTCCATCTTCCACTCCATGTCTCCAGTTCCTGTGCCACTTTCCCAGTGGCTGGTAGGAGAACCTGTATCAACTCCAGGTCCCAGCCCAGGGACCCAATGACTAGCCATTCAGGTGTGCTCAGTCTCAGATTCCCCATTCTGTATATTGTTCTTTATCTCTGATTTACCACCAGAGATTACTCTGCGCCTCATAGCTACTTCACCCTTCTAGGCCTCTTGCTGGACTCCCCAAACCAGGGCAAGACCCCAATGTTTACTCTCCCCCTGAATCTCTTCCTTGTACCTGGCAAACTCCCTTTCCTTCTTGGGTGTGGTGGCCACCCTCCTTCCTGCCCTCATTTCCCATCTTTTAATCCTATCCCAGCACCACTCCAAGCTGGACTTCATCAACCATTAGGAATAATCTATCCCTGGTTTCCCTCCAGGTGCAGCATAAGATTAATTAGGCCCTTTTGGCCCACCTTAATCCTCTCAGCACTGGTGTGGTGTGTATACTTCAATGCAATATTTCTTCCACAAAAATTATGTTTAATTATAATTCTGGGATGTCCTTTTCAATATAAATGTCCAATCTGTTTCTGAATCTGATTAAATTCTTGACCTCTGCAACTTCCTGTAGCAATTTGTTCCACCGCTTAACACATCTTATGGTTAAAAGTGTTTTCTTTTATTGCTGTTGAATTTCCCACCCTTTAATGGAATGTCTCCATGTTTGGCTGCTGTTATGAGACGGGGAGAACTGAAGTTTCTGATGTGCCTTTTCTTATATACATTTTCAGGTCTCTTCTCATTCATCTTCTTTCTAAGGTAAATGATCCCAGTTACTTCAGTTTCTTTTCACATGAGAATTTTTCAGTGTTCTTGTTCATTATCATCATCACCTTTCCCTGTATCAACTCCAATTCTGCAAATCTCTTTTTGAGATGAAGTGACCAGTAGTGCACATAGTATTCTGGGATGAGGCCACACTATTGCTTTATGTAAAGATATTATAATATTCTCTGTATTATTCACCATTCCATTCCTTATGCAAAGGTCAATTTTTGTTTTTTTTTAGAGTGCACCTTGAGCAAAAGTCTTCATAGAGCATTCTACAATTATACCTTTTCTTGAGCTGATGCAGTTCATTCAGAACCCCGTAAGGTCTATGAATAGTTTATTTTCTCCCTTCAATATGCATTACTTTGTATTTATTTACACCAAATTTGCAATATAATGTATTTTAAAGATTCAAGTTTCAACAATTCACACACCTTGTGGGGTTGTAAATTAACTTCATCAGCTCAAGGAAGGGACATAGGCACCAGGAAATTACTATCTGCTGACTATTCAATGCCCAATAAGTGTGATGGACTTGGTCCAGTTCCTGAGGCCATGTGTCTACACAGCAAAAAAAAAAACCCACGTTTGGCGCTGTTTATACATTTGTCGTCAGTTTCAGTTGAAAGGTCACAAACTGAATGGATATGAAGACCGGAGAACCTCCCATTTGTAAAGGTGTTACCTCCTAATCATGTTGCCAGGAGAATGAGGAGAAGCTGCCATTGTTCCTGCATGCATGGTACCTGTTCTGTGGAAACCGGAATTTTGCCTTCCTTCTCTTATGCTGATCTTCATCTGATCTTCATTTTATGATCAGTTTTCTACATGTCTGTTAATTGACAATATTCAAATGGCTACCAAAGGCAATTTTTCCCTGATGTTTTGCACTGATGATCTGCCAAAGATAGACATTTAAATGATGGAGTGGAATTTGTAAAAACACCTTTAGGGTTTAGGAGCAGAAATCCCATTTATTGTATTAGCAATGGCACTTGTCCTCATAAATCCTATCTTTGTTTTTCAAAATCTCTCCCTATACAGTTATTTTTTTTAAAGCGATGAAAATCAACAAGAATTCTATGCACAAAGGTTGATTTCTGTGGGTGAGCTACTTTCATTGAGTTGCACTCTCCTCTTATGACTTTCCCCTACAATCCATTTGCCTATTTTTTTCTCACTGTGATTTATTATATTTGTTGGGCCCCTGGTTTCACTCTAAGTTCCTCTAAATTGGGACTTTGTCTTCTTAAATTTTATTTTGCCTATTAAGTGGCATGCACACTTTTGCAACATGTATATCAATGCTATACCATGCATATTCTGGGTCTGGTTTAAACACTCAAATTAGGACCCCCCACCACTTTACTTCTGCCATCACCCCCAACAAACCCTGCAGTCACCAGAAAGTAATTTTACAAAAGGATCAAGTTTCAGAGAAGGCTAGGAATCTCATTAATTAACACAGCCCAATCTGTCTGTCATGTTTCTGAGTTCTCTATAGAAATAACAGCCAGATTGCTGTTCTGCCTCATGGATATTCTTAGCTAGGCCTTGATTAATTTTAGCTCTTTTGTGAATTTTAGCCCCTTTGTGAATGTAGCTAAGGAGATCAATGACAATTTCATTTCCGAGTCACCCTTAAAGATTTTGTACACACACACATACACACACACACACACACATCAAAGAACACAATGCCATTCTCAAACTCTTGGTTTTTCAGAAGTTCTTAATCAATATACCATAGTGGGCCACATTTGTGTTATGTGGTCTGAATTCAATACTACCTCTATAGCTATGAGGATGTCACAAGGGCCACAGCTGTGTGCTGATGGGTCACAGGTTGAGAAACACAGGTTTAAATCCTCAGGGTAACTTCTTACTAAGTTTTGAGTGTGCCTCTTGAGGCAGAGACTTTTCAGTTCCTCATCCAACAAAAAAAAGCAAATCTTATGCCAACTCCATAATGCTTATTCACCTATCATACAATTGTGTTAATATTACATCTAAGATGGGGTTGGAAAAGTCACATTCAAAACCTTTTTGGGATCTAATGACCTTCTGCCCTTTGCAAATTTGCCTGGCATTACTTTCCTCCTTTGCAATGATTTCTTTTTAAACTGTGTGAATATCTCTAATGTTTCAGCCTATAAAGCAGGAGCTTCCTTACATGTACTGAGTCCAGAAGACCCTAATTCTGAGAAAAGACACCAACTAAATTAAAAAATTAAAATCATTTCAAAATACACCAACTCAATTAAAAACTGTTTCAATATAATGATCCAGATGCAGCAAATTTTTACCCATGTTAGTTTTTGTTAAGATATTATATCACATCTTGATCAAAACAAGAAGAGGAAGTTACTCATCTTGGTGCAGTAATGACGGTTCTTCGAGATGTGTGTCCCGTGGGTGCTCCACTGTAGATGTTGGGTCATCCTAGTGCTGCAGATCGGAGTTTTCTTGAGCAGTGATTTGCCAGACTGTACATGCACAGCACGCGCCTCGCACCATTCACACCCTTTTGATGTCTCACGCAGTCCGATTCCCGCCAGTTCCTTTAGTCCGCCCCGGTATCTGTAAGATATAAGGAAAAATCCAAGGTGGGGAGGAGGATGGGAAGTGGCGCACCCACAGGGACACACATCTTGAAGAACTGTCATTACTGCACCAAGCTGAGTAACTTCCTTTTCTCCTTTGAGTGATGTCCTCGTGGGTGCTTCACTGTAGGTGAATGTGTAGCAGTACTCAGTATAACTTGGCCTCAGATTTATGGCTTTATAGCAGTAGATAAGACCATGGAGGCCACAATAGTGTCATTTATTTGAGTCTGCAAAAGTGCATAATACTTCATAAATGTGTCATTTATGGACCACGTAGAGACACAGATATCCTTGAGGGGAACCCTGTGGAGGAAAGCTGTAGAAGTTGCCATCACTCTTGTGAAGAGTGCTCTAAGTGTTTAAGGTAGTGCTCTATTCCTCAAAAGGTAACATTGTGTGATGCATGACACTAAAAGCTTAGAAATGATTCATGATGATAGCAGATAGCCCTTATAGCAGTCCTCTATAGAAATGAGCAAACAATCCAATTTGCGGAAAGACTTAGTCCTCTCCAAACAGCCACATTTAAATCATCGTTTTTCAGCTTATCTAAAATAATATCTCTAACATTCACCTCTGCTTTGGTGTGGATATCTTTGAAACCTACATAGCATTAAACAGGGCCCTGAAAGGTCCATTTGTGGGCTGAAGATGGAGAAGTCTAGGTCCCCCACAATGGAAGAAAAAGGAAAAGTTAAAAAAAGCAAAAAAGCAGGGCCCTTCATGGAACCCTTATTTGCCCAGTTTCCCTGGAATCATTTGACTCCCCTTTCCGACAGCTGTGAGATAGATACCGTAACTTAAAGCAAGTACAGGGTTTGCTTGTGCCAGGACAATTGGATGTAGGGGGACTCAGGCCAGCCCCAGGGAGAAGTCGAAGGGCAGGTTGTGTGGCCTCTGGGCCAGTCCTAGGGAGAAGTTGGCAGGCAGACTGTAGTCCCATCGCTGCCTCCAGCCTGGCTCCAGGAAGCAGCTGCCTTGAGGCCTCTACCCCTTTTCCTGAGCCCCCATCCATGCCTCCAAACCCCATGCCATGGCTCCTGCACCCCTACCCCTTGCTTTGAGCCCCCCACCCCGTGCTCTGACTCCTGCACCCTCACCACCTGACCCGAGCACCTTTCACATCTCCAGGTCCCTATTCTGAGATCCCCACATCTTCAAGCTCCTGCCCTGACTCCTGCATCCCCCACTTCTGCAGTCCCCTTCCCTGAGCCCCTCCTTAATGACTCAAGCAACACCGGGTAAATTTGCTAGTATTAAATAAAAACAAATGGTTAGTTAAATACCTTTCATGAGTATCAAATACACACACATAAACCACAGAAGATTAGAATAAAATCACTTATTATGAAACCTTAGAGTTGCCAAATGGAAGAATGAAAAATATTTCAAAATGTTCAGGAATTTGTGTATGATAGCAATAATACTTAATACATTGAATTTCAGTATTAACATGTTTTGGTTGTTCTGCTTACAGATGCAAATGGCTCTCTACAAATTACTGTAAGCTACTCTTAATGCTGCTCACTTCTGAGACCTTATTTTCAACCTCTGGGTGAACAATTCAGAGGGCCACCCTTCCTCAACCTGAGTGGCATTTAAAGTGACCTATACAGAGCTGTTAATGATGGATGCCACTTTTACATTTGTCTAGGTATGGCAGTATCTGTTGATATGTTAATTAGCCATGTTACAAATAAAAGCTTTATTGCATATTGGCTGGTTACTTATTTGTTGGTATCTAGATCCTTCAGAGAATTCACTCTGAAAATATATAGACTTTATATCCTGTATCTGGGTGGAGTTCCCATTCTATTCTAGCTAAGGCCTGTGTGTGTGCTACATCTGGATCTGGTTTACCAGTAACGCAAATAATGAATAACATATGCTTGTCTTTCAAAGCCTGGCTGCTTATGGGGATTTCTACAGGCTCTTTTGTTCCTTTCCTTAATAACACTTAGCAAATGAAGTTTCAGAAGTCTCTCATATTTTTACTGTTGTGAATGGTGGATTAATACTGCAACACTATTATTAAAAACTTAGTAGTTCAGCTGATTTAAAGAAAATTTGAATTTGTAAGCAATTTTCATTTTGGAATGAATAATATAATCGTATTAGATTTACATCTGTTTTCATTTTGCTGACTCTTTCTCTTCTCTTGTTTAAAACATATGTGACCTGGAGAATAAAATGCTTCATTACCCACCTTTGACTTGCCTCTCGATGTTTTCCCTCTGTTTCCTTCAAATATTAAACAATTCTCCTACATAGAAGAGAAAATGTCACTTTTTGCCCCAATATTTTTTCATGTAAAAGTCAAAGTTTTCCATGGGAACCTCTCTTCCCATTTTCCATCCAACTCTAATCTACACACAAAAGCAAATAGACTATTCATAGGTATAGAGGACAAGCAGAACATTTAGATGACTGATGATGTCCCAAAACATTAAATATTAAGGGGGGGGGGAGGTTAAGGAGAAAATTCAGCATTAGCATAAACACATGTGACTCCATTGACTTCACTGAATTAGAACTCTGCCTGCTTATACCCTGATATGGCTCTACCTTGGGCAAAGTCTCACCTTCTGAATGAAGTTATTACCCTGAATTTTGAGAACTTTCTTGTTTCCCCAGTGGTAGAATTCCAGTAGCAATTTGTGTAACTGCCCAGTCACAATAAAAATGGATAATTGATTGGACATATTGCTCACTGATTCAACTTAACATGTAATATAGGAAAACTAGTTCTAAAGTGATAAAAATCTAAACGTTTTCAAACTTCCATGTAACATTCTGATCAGGTTCAGTTTTCACTCTGAATTCACCCACACCTCTTGCACAGAAACTATATGTATTTCTATATTTATATCTATATCTATATATCCACAGCTGTTCAAACCTGCTGTAAGAAACATGTTCTGTTATTATGTTACTGGTGATGATTTTAGTTAACTATTAATTGGTATTTTCTCAAGTTTTTTGTTATTCATTTCACATGGTAATAATTGTTTGACATGGGAATTACATATTTCTCCCTCAATTGATTTTAAGTATTTAGACACTATGGCATCTTTGGTGGAACATTATACAAATTGTATCTGCAAGACAGGCTAAAGTATGTTCAAAGTGTCTTGCTCAGGATAATAAAGGAAGTAGGCCTTTTACTGATGTGTACTACAACTATCCTTCTTCTGTTTGTAATTGCTATTCACAGCACATACTTCTGCTCTTTGTCTGGTTAACATCTTTTACTGTAGATGGTTTGCGGTAAGTAGAGGAATTTAGTTTTGAGAACACTGAGGTTTATTGTAGGTTATTTATTGCAGCTTAATAAATTGTAGCAATAGTGTACATTTATCTACACAAAACATCATAATTGCAGCAGAAAATGAAGACTTAGCAAAAAAAAAGTGCATATTAGATTTTCAAAGCAGTAAATTAAACTTCACATTGAGGTGATGCTTTGTCTTTCTATAAGCTCCAGAAGCCATTGGATACTTATATTACTTTTGTTTCTTTTTTTTTGTATGAAATTTAAATTTTGCTTGATAATTTCTAAAGCTTGCACAGTGAATACCCTGCATAATAATTAATGTTTAGCTCCTTCTAAAGCTATGTGTAGAAGGGCACACACAAGTCATTTGCCAGCTGGGTTTTCTGTATTCTTCTCCCATGCATTTGAAATGTTTAATCTTGTATGGTGAAGACCTTTCCTGCATTGCAATTATCTGTCATTGCAGATCTCATTTTCATTGTCTTGGTTGCAGTCTATTCAAAATAGAGTAGAAACCTATTATGGGGAACTAGAATTCTTTTTCAGACACTCAAAACAATAGTCTAGTCATCTACAGATTCAGTCACAACAAGCCATGGGACTAATTTTAGTTGCTTAGATGTTCTTGAAAGTGGAGTAGTCACTTTTAAGTTACTATCACGTGGTAATTTGATGAAGCAACTGACACATTTATAAAAAAGTTGATTTTACAACAGGACAAGATAAGTGGTAAATTATTTGTATAATACCTTTCTGGAATGATTATGTTTAAATCTAGCTGCTAGTAAGGTATCTTCATGGAGATTTACACATGAAGCTTCCATTACTGTCAATGGGAATTATGCCTATTCAGAGACTCATTGAGTCAAGCAGTTTGACTCATAGCTTTCTACTAGTCCTTTCAAGCTCTTTGCGATAATTATTAAGCCTGATTTTGCAATTTAGCAGTGCCCATGCTTCAAGGTTTTGTTCTGGGTCTGGCTTTTTTTTTTAAAGAGTCTACTGCTGCTGTAAGTCATGTTCTAAGTCAGAGATGGGGCACCTCAGGCCTAGGGGCTGGATGTGGCCCCCAACTTGCCTGGATCTGGCTCCTCTGGCTCATAACTCCCACCCCCAGCATTGGGGATCCCATGCTGGTGCTCTAGCTCTCCTGCCCTTCCCCCACAGGGCAGGAGCACACAAAATCTACTAGGTGGGCCCCCCCTGAGCTCTGGTGTGTGAAGGGAATGTTGGGAATGTCTTTCTCCTTCTCAGCTGGGAGCCACATCAGTGAGGGAGTTTTTTTTGTTTCTCACTTATGTGCGGCCCCTGACTGATTTTTCAGTAGCCCCTTACCCTAATTCTGACCTTAAAAATGTTCCCTACCTCTGTTCTAGATTCTAGTACTGTTTTCTGTGACATTTTATCTATCTATCTATCTATCTATGGAAACCTGGAAAATGAATTCATATATATATGCTAATTTTTCAGATTTTTCTGAAAATATCATCCATTCACCCTATAGATAACATTTCACGGTGCACTCAGAACCAGTGAGGGGCTGTGTGTCACCTGCCTTATGACCTTGGCTGTCTCACAATGCTTTGCCGCTGTAGCTCCCACTAGGGCCACTCATGAACTGCCTGCCTGCATGAACGTCCCAGCCTGGATTTCTGAGAATAGCTGCAGCCCTGAACCCAGGAGCCTGCCAGCAACACACTGGCCAGACCATGGATTCCACCAGCATTGATTATTACTTGCTGGGTGTCCCCAGCTTAGTCCCAGTTACCAATTTCCATCCAAAAAACATTGAAAAAAAGAAAGAAACAAATAAGAAATAAAACTGCCATGTGTTCTGCACTGTCCAGCCCTCTTCTGGCCAGTTCAGGTATTTTAAATCCATTGTCTCTGTTAAGGAAACATTATAAGACAATTTGCCACCTTAAATTGAGTTACTAACACAGTTTAGAACAATGAGTTAATTTTGATTAAAGAACACAAAGAGGTTAGCAACATTGGAGGTATATACAGTTCACCATACCATTGCTGCCCAGTGAATTATTAGTTTTCAAGTGACATATCGCCAGGAATATTTTTCACGAAGATTACTATAGTAGCATCCAGGGTGTGAATATAGGGATGCACTCAGTCACACTATGCTTATTTGTTTGTAACTGGTTCTTGTACCAGAACATATAAATAAAGTCAAAAGTAAAGACTGTGGGATGGCCCATGTATGGTCACCCCCTTGGGAATGCGAAGAGAGACTTCCTGGTTTATGCAGTCCACGTATGAGCTAGCTAGAATTCTCATCTCTGTACTCAGCTACTAATAAGGTGTTTCTACATTCTGGGTCAGAGCAACTTGTTGGAAAGGAAGCAGGAAACTGACAGAAGCATGGCTCCACCTCTCTACATGCTGGACAGCAGACTTGGCTGGTCACTAGTGTCTAGACTACATCCAGTTCTGTTGACAAAGCAAGCCGCTTTGTTGACATGAGAGTGTAGACACAAAGGACAGTGAAGATGCAATAACGCCTTCTGTTGACAGAACTCTGTTGACAAAAGGTGGTATTCCTCGTAGAATGAGGTTTACCGTCATCAACAAAACTGCTGAATTCTGTCGACAGAACTCAGCGGTAGTGTAGATGCAGGTATAGTTTTGTCGACAAAAGTCCACTTCCCTAGGGGAGTGTGTTTTAAAGGCGCATGGTGGATTGTACTCTTTCCTTTGCTTTAGGCAACTAAAGAGCTTCCTGGAGACAGAATACCTCCCTCCAGGACACTGCAGCTGTTCAACACCCATGGCAACTGTCTGTGACTAAATGCCACAACTTAGCCCCAAAATATTTGTGATCATGTTATATCTGCAAAGCTAATTGCATTCCTGAGACTAACTTCAGGAGTCTTACCACCCCATGGAATCCAAAGCTCCGAGTTAGGTATCCAAGATCCCTAGATAATGTATGGGGAGACTAGCATGCCTAATGTGAGGATTCACAGAAGCCAGTGAGCTGAGCAACCATTGCCTAAATTAGTCAGTAGGAAGTATATATGAAAAGGATGTGCCCTAAGCCCCAACCCTGAGGGAGAGTTATGGGTTAGACTTACAAAGGGCATAGGCCACTTTAAGTGCTTACATTTGAGAATCAGACTCCACTGGAATTCTCAAAGGCCTGGCTCAGCTGATCTCAAACCCTGCATGTGCCTAAAGTTGCCCAGTGATTGACTTTTTTGGATTAAACGTTCCCTAAGAGTCTATATTTCTGTCTCTAAGGGTATGTCTACACTACCCCGCTAGTTCGAACTAGCAGAGGTAATGTAGTCATCCGCAGTTGCAAAAGAAGCCCGGGATTTGAATTTCCCGGGCTTCATTTGCATGAAGCCGGCCGGCGCCATTTTTAAATGCCGGCTAGTTCGAACCTAATCCGAACTAGCTACTCCGTGCCGCGTGTAGCCGCGTGGCACGGGGTTCGAACTAGCCGGCATTTAAAAATGGCGCAGGCCGGCTTCATGCAAATGAAGCCTGGGAAATTCAAATCCTGGGCTTCATTTGCAACTGCGGATGACTACATTACCCCCGCTAGTTCGAACTAGCGGGGTAGTGTAGACATACCCTGAGAGTTTGTACTGCTGCTCCATGCTAGGCATCTGACACCTACACCCCAAAGCAAGGCACAAACTAGGAGAAGATAGGCGTTCTTCTGCCTAAGTCACATGTGGGGCCTGATCCAGTAAGTGTTCTCAGAGCTTGTCTAGCAGATTGGCCGCTAAAGACAAGTTTATAGAAAACAGCTGGGAGGGGAGGACCTTTGGCCCGGTGTTTAGAGTACTCACATGGGATGAGGAGAGACCGCCCATATTTGAAGAAATTTGAACTGGGATCTACCAGCTCTAATGTGAGTGCTCTAACCCCTGAACTATATGATAGTCTGAGGTGTGGCCAGTCAGTTTCTCCTATTGAAGATGTTCCATGGTGAACAAATAATGTTTTAAAATAAGTCACCAGAGCAGGGCACTGAATCCAGCTTCAACAAGAGAGAAAGACTATCCCACCAGACTATCAAAGAGTCCTGTGCTTACAGCACTCACTTGGGAGGTTGGAAACACAAGTTCAAGTCCCTCCTTGTACTCAAGCAGAGTGAGAGTTTGAACCTGAGTCTCCTAAGCTATGGTTTAATGATCCAGACACGAGGGCTGGATTAAACAGCTGAAGCGGCTTAGGTGACTAACTCACCTAACTAACATGGCTATGAATTCTGAGTGAAGGGCAGCACCTCCATTTGCCTTGGAATTAGAAACTTAGGGCCAGATTCACAGAGAAGCTCTTAGATGCCTAGAAAAAAAATTACTGGAGTCACAAAGTCTGAGTTTGGCATCAAGGTGCCTCATATAATAAATGGGGAGACAGAATTGCTTTAGAATGGGATTAACAAAAGCCAGCATGATAGGCCACTTGCTGCCTAAGAGAGATGATGCCATGCTGAGAGTGATGTACTAAGCCCTGCTCTTCTCTGTCAGAGATAAGTCTTGGTGGCAGGGAAGCAAGAAGCACCATTTTAGCAAGAAGTCTGGGGGAGAGGGAGAAGGAGATGGAGTCCCCTTGTAAATTTTAGCCCTGTATAGCTTTTTAAATGCCTTTTGAAAATTCTGCTACTCATACTATCGATGGCCTCTGCGGTATGTACAGGAGAGATTAGGGCCACACTTTTCTCTGAGCAAAGCTTGTACTCACTGTGTCTTCCAGAGAAGTTTGCAGCTCCATCAAATGCACAAACAGCCATCTGTTTGGTGTTAAATTTACAAGCATCTAACTCTTCTAAGATAGTGGGTTCTGAGAGATGAAGCTGATGTGTCTTCTTTAACCTGAACTTCTAAAAATTCATCTACTGAAAAAATTCAGTAAAAACACTGAAAACATTATCTGGAAACATCCATTCAATGTGCAGCAGCAGTCAAAAAAGCAAACAGAATGAATGTTGGGAATTGCTGAGAAAGGGATAGATAATAAAATAGAAAATATCATGTTATGTTTATTTAAATCCATAGCATACCCATATCTTGACTACTGCATGCATATATGGTTGTCCATCTTTTTACTGAGATTTGATCTAAAATTGTTATGCTGTACTTTGAACTTTTTGCTTCTTCTCCTGCCCTCTGTGGCAAATGAGAACAACTATTTTTTGTCTTTATGGCAGCCTTTCAAGTATTTGAATTCCATTATCATATCTCCCCTCAACTCTTTTTCAAACTAACTATATTCAGTTCCTCCAGCCTTTGCTCATATGATTTGTATTCCTTCTCTTTCATCATCTTTGTCATTCACCTCTGGATCCTCCCCACTTTTTCTAAATCATTTCTATACAATTGTGACCAAAATTAGACACAGGACTCCAGCTGAGCTATAAAGCATCACCTCCCATGACTTGAAAGCTATGCATCAGTTAATGCAATCTAAAATTGCATTTGCTTTTTTGCAACAGCATCACTCTGCTGACTCATGAGAAGTTTGTGATCCACACAGATCTTTCTCAGCCGTGCTGCTACCAAGCCAGTTTCCCCCATTCTGCATTTGTGCATTTGGGTTTTCTTCCCTAAATGTAGCACCTTACATTTCTCTTGTTGAATGTAATTTTGTTGTTTATAGCCCATTTCTCCAATTTATCAAGAACCCTCTGAATTTTAGCTCTGTCCTCCAAAATGTTGCCAGTTGTGTCAAACCCACATTTCTCCAGTTTTCTTATCAGAATGTCATGTTTCCTTGTGTCAAAAGCTTTGCTGAAGTCCAGGTATATTATGACAAACACATTCCCCCTATTCACCAAATCAGTTGCCCTGTGAAAGAAGGACATCAAGCTGGTTTGGCATGATTTGTTCTTGAGAAATCCATGCTGGCTTCTAGTGATTACTCCTTCATTCTCCAAGTATTCACAAATGGAATGTTTTACTCATTGCTTTAGTAACTTTCCAGACATTGAAATCAGGATGGTCTTTAGTTCCCAGGTTTATCCTTTCCCCACTTTTTGAAGATGGGCATTGTGTTGCAGTCTTAAGTAACTTCTCCTGTCATCCATGAGTTTGTAATTATTATTGCCAGTGGCTCTGACATTGTTTCAGCTAATCCTTCAGTATTCCTGGTAAATAGCATCCGGCCCCTCTAATTTGAATTCATTCAATTTGGTCAGAAGATCTCTGACAAGTTCTTTCCTTATCCCAGTCTGTATCACTTCCCCTTTATTGTTTATGATAACTTTGCTGGTCATCTGGTCATGTTATTTTTGCAAGAAGATTGAAGCAAAGTAGGCTCTGAAGTGGCTCTGCTTTCCTGTCCTCTTTGTTACCAGTTCCTTTCTCCACTGAGCAGTGAAACAAACTGATGTACTGGGCCGGTTCTGGGCACCACTGAGGGTGTCAGCTCAGGGTGAATTGCTCAAAACCAGGACTGCTTACTGTCCTTGACTGGAGACCTTTCCCAAAATAGGCCACAAACCAGTCACACAGAGCACTTCAGCTGCCAATCTGGCTAGCAGGAAGCCTCACAAGCAAAACCCCTCAGACATCCTAGCTCTCCCTGTGCCACAATCAGCCCCAGGCCTTACACACAAGTGAAAGGTTGTAAAACCCGATCTCACCAACCCAAACAGATCCTCCTAGTCCCAAAGAACCAGCCACAGTCTTCAGTCTTTAGATCTTACCCCCAAGAGCATGTTGAGCCAATCCTTTTGAATCTAAAATCTATAGGTTTATTAATAGAAGAAAGGAAAGGTTGAGAGTAAGAGTGTTAAGGAGAATACATTACGTACATCAATCGCCAAGTTCTTGATGCAGGCTTTTAGCAGAGATGTTACAGACCGCTAGCTTAGAAGTCTCTGGTGTACGTCTTGTATAAGAATGGGTCAGCAATTCTTCCAGGCTCTCTGTCCCTAGCAAGGCTGCATCTGGAATTAGGAGCAAGATTGAAGACAAGATGGAGACACCCTCATGGCACTTTTATATTCCTGGTGTCTCCCAAGCTGGAGCTGGTCACATGATCAAATGACCTATCTGTGTTTCACATGCCAGCAGCCATGAGACACTGGCTAGTCTGCAGGCTCCCAGTCGCACTCCTCAGGTGTGAATTGGCCACTCTGAGAGCCATTGTCCATAAAGCAGTGCTAGTTAACATAGCCATTCACTGAACAATCCTTCCTCACAATAGGCAGTTCAGGCCCATTGCTCCCTCCCAAACAGAGGACATTTACAGTACAAGAACAGGGCCCATATTCATAACTTTACGTACAAAAATCACATAAGTACGTGAGTAGCATGTATAGGATCAGCATAGCATAAACTTTCATTTGATACCGCACATGCCCACTTTGTACAGAATTTGTGGCAAACACCACCCGGAGGTGCAACAGTGATCTGTCTGCTCACTTTAACATCCAATACTGTGACACAAACGGTCCTTGATTTTTCTTTTTGTCTGAGATATCTGAAGAACCCCTTCTTGTTGTCTCTAACATTTTTTTGCTAGCTGTAACTCATTCCTTGTCTTGGCTTTCCTGATTTTTCCCCTACTCGTGCTATTCCCATGTATACTTCTTTGGTGACACTCTCCTTCTATTTCCTGTATATATTTCTTTGGGGTTTTAGATATCCAAAAAGCACTTTGTGCAGCCATACTGGCCTCCAGTGGCTCTTCTTATCTTTCCTCTGCGTTGGAATAGCTTGCTGTTAAATCTCTAGTATTTCATCTTTTAAGAACTGCCAGCCCCTTTTGGCTCCTTTTCATCTTAACTGTTGTCTACTTGGGACCTTACCTACTGTTTCTTTGAGTTGGCTGAATCCTCCTTTTTGAAGTCCAGTATCTCTTCTCTATTCTCCTACCCTCCTTTCTAAAGGATCCTGAATTCTATTAGACCATAGCCACTTCCTCCCAAGTCCCTGACCACCCTCACATTCACAATTAACTCATCCTGTTTGGTCAATACCAGATTCCAAATAGACAATTCCCTACTTATTTTCTCAACTTTTTGAACCAGAACGCTGGACATATTATGTTTTGCTGCAATAGTCTTCTGACAGATATCTAGGAAGGTGAAATCTGCATTTTTACTACTTTGCGCCTGTGTTTCTCCTGGAATGTCAAATAAAAAAGAGATGCCTTGAAACTTTGTGATGATCTTTCATAGGACCAATGAAAAATAGAATTTTGACATATATCAATGGCGACTAGATAAGTAGGTCTTTTGTTCACACTAGGTTCTTAGAAATGTTTGTATAGTTGTCCCCATCCACTCTCCCTCAAGATATCCACCTCTTTTAGTCAAAACCACAATTTTTAAAATTTAGTTCAACATTTGAAAATTAAATCTTGTAGCCTATTTCATGAGCCATAAAGCAATAAAAAAGTAGGGCTGGAAGGGATCTCAAGAACTCATTTAGCCCATTCTCCTGCAAGAAGGAAGAACCAGAGGTGAAAGTAACAAATTTCTTACCGGTACTGTCCTATCACAATACCACCCCACCCCCGAGGGGGAGGCAACAGAGAAAGCGGTTGAGGGGTTGCAATAAGACCCTACCTATAAGCAATGTAAGTGTGGGATGGAGTGTGGGGGTCTCAGGGAAGTCGGTTGGTGTGTGTGTGGGGGGGTGTTCAGGGTAGGGGTTTGGGATGTAGTGAGTTCATGAGTCAGGGTAGGGGTTGGATTGTGGAGATGCAGGAGTCAGGGAAGAGAGTTATGGGGTATTTGAGGGTTCACGGGGTGTAGGGAGGCTCACAACAAGGAACTGGGGTGTGTGGGGTTCAGGGCAGAGGGCTGGAGGTGTGTATGGGGATCTCAGGACTAGGATTGCAGCCTCTGTTTGCTGCTTTGCCAGCAGATCCCCAGGGCAGTGGGGACCACGCTGACCAGCTGTCCCAACACTAGGGCTGAGGCCCTGGTGCTCTGTGGCTGTGCAGCCCAGGTGCCGGCAGCATCCAGATCCCAGCCTCCAACTGCCCAGTCTCTTACCAGTGTGCTGCACGGGGCACACAAGCTTACTTTCACCTTTGTGCAGGACCAAGAATACCTAAGCCATCTCTGACAGATGATTGTCTACTTGTTTTTTAAAACCTCCAATAATGCAATTCCACAACCTGCCTTGCTCACCTTTTCTGCTACTTATCTGTGCTATAAGTTAGAAAGTTTTTCCTATCTAATGTGTAAGCTAAATTTCCTTTGCAGCAGATTATGCTGATTATCTTTTATGTTACTCTTGGTGGATGGGGAGAACAACTGATCACCATTCTCTTTGTAACAGCCCTTTACATATTTGAAGACTATTATCAGTTTCTACCTCAGCCTTTCCCCAGGTCTAAACATACTCCTTTTTTAAAACATTTTTTCATATAATATTTTTACTAGCGCAAAAATGTCTTGCTTTAAACTAGGGGTCTCCAAATTACAGTGCCTGGGCCTCATCTGGCCACATTTTGACAGGTCTACTGAGTTCAGTGGTATTACCAATACTTGCAGTCTACGGGCTGTACATGGCCTGTCAGGGTAATCTGCTGGCAGACTGAGAGCTTCCTTACATTGAGCATCTGCAGTTCACTGTTCCCAGCCAATGGGAGCTGCAGGAAGTGGCGTTAGCTTCAGGGATGTGCTTGCGGCTGCTTCCCACGGCTCCCATTGGCCCTGAGCTCCAGTCTACTTCACAATGCACACTCCTATGATAAAATGACTACCCACATTTACCAGCTTTCAATCACCTTCTGCTGTCTTGTTTATAACTGTAAGCTCTTCAGGGCAGAAATAATCTCTTACACAATGCATGTATTATTGTCTATTGACCCACTCTGCCCCATCATAGGAGCAAGACTGAGTGGCCCTGGCACCCGAAAGTTTGGGGACCCCTGCTCTAGAATTAGACTTATTTTGGGCTCTTTCTTGTATATAGACTTTGTATGTGAAAGATGATATAGAAATGGATACATAATTACTACTAATAAAATGTGCTGAAACTTCATTTTATTGAGATGAGACAATATCCCTGAGGAGATGAAAACGTGTTTTATTCTCAGGCCAGTTCTAGCCTACTTTTACATGCTGAGTGAAAAAGCTTTGGTACGTCTCAACTACTGAATGTCTCCAACGAACACCACACTTTATATTATGCTTTGTAACATGACTAGCAAATGTTTTCTTTGGACTGATCACACAAGAAAGACTGGAATCTTATACATCATCTTTTACATCATCATCATGTTTTCTTTGGAATTTTCATGTTGTAGCACTGCCTCTTTTTCAAGTGTAAATGTGACCTTCCCCCACCAACAGACTCCCTTGAAGGGAGAAAAAATGCCTTGTGATTTCCTGTTCTGGAGCGGGGAGAGGTTACGCTGCTTTTTTCCTTTTTGCAACCAGCCAATGCCCTATTATAGACTGTAATTCACTCTCCATTTTTAGTGCTGATTTTTGTAGCTGGTCTTTGTTCTGTTTATGATACATTCTGACAAGGTCAGCATATTAAATTGCTAAGATTTTCGTTAACGGTATGTAGCAAAACAAAATAAAACAGAGAGGGCAGTTACTTTCCTGTTAAATACAGAGGCTCAGCATTGTCTGGAGATCTCTATTGCTATTTGAGTAATCCATGGAATAATGGCTTGGGCCACTAAACTAATTTCTGCAGTGATACTGGTAAATCATATTAAAATCTTCAAGTACAAATGCCTTGCTCAGGAACATATATATGAAAGAACGTAATCAAATTTTATTTTCCTTCTATATACAATTGTTTGCAGGTCAGCTGCAGAACAGTTTTGTACCCAAGAATCCCCCCCCCCAAAAAAAACCCCACTTTTAACGCTTTTGCTACATGCATATCTCATGCAAATGAAAGAACAATGAAAGTATTATGTACTTTCCCTTCTTATTTCTGCTTTTCATTTCCTTTATCATTTGCCTATGAAAATATATTACAGCTCTCCATGTTCCGACAGCTACTCTTAACTATGACCATAATAATAAGAAAGACCAATATTTTAATTTTATGTTTACTTTCTTCTAGAAAGTACTTTTTCAAACATAGGGTTCAAACATATGTCTACATTTTCAAACATAGGGTTACACAGATAGTTCCTAAGCTGCACCAAATGTAACTTGGCAAAACATATTCTTACAAAACTGCACAAACTCTATTTTGTTCCACTGGAACAGAGCAGGCAGAATGAAAAGCCAACATGTGGCACTGCCTGGGTCTTTGACAAAGGCTCAAATACTGGCTTTTTGTTCTCTATTGCTGCTCTATAGCAATAGAATAAAATATCAATCAGGCATTTCTATAACTATAGCTTGCTTGAACTCTTTTAACATTTTAGCTTTGGTGAATGGTAGCCCAAGTTTTCATTTTCCTATGTAGCTTAAATTATGTAACTTTTCATGGGCTCCTCACTACTGCAGTCTCCTTAAGACTCTTTTAAGGATTTTGAGCTTTATGAACATCTGATTTTAATATTGTGAAAAAACTCACAGGCATTTCTGAAGACTCCATAGACAATAATTGCCTGTGTGCTGGCAGGCTATATAAGCCCTATTTAGACTAGGAAAGATCATGGTTTAAAGCAATTGTGTTTGCTAATTACATTTGCAATTATCACTTAAATCCTGATGTAGCTGCAGTTTAATACCTTGAAACCCATATTTGCTGGTGACGTTTGAACCTAGTGGGGAGTCAAGTGTCAATGCAGACCAGCTAAATCAGGTTTAAAGGTATTAAATTGCACTCAACATTGAGTCCTAAGTGGTCAGTGTATGCCACTTAATAGCAGTCTTGATATTAACAATTCACAGCTAATAGCAATATTTTGCTGGGAACCAGTCCCATCCCATTGACTTTAATGTTAATAGGATTTGGAAAGTAGCAACAGAAATGCTGATTATTGACAAAGTTTTCATATTCTGTCTGCATCTGGGAGA